GCCGGAGCCCCGGGCAGAGGTGAGCAAAGGGCTGGCCGGGGGGCCGGGGAGGTTCACTTTCCTTAGCGGTGGGGGCTTTTTCTTGTCGATTCTAAGGTCCTGTTTTCCCCCACGGTTCTGCTTTAGCGTCTTCTGCACCGGGCTTTTAAAAGCGCATTTATTTACAGGACAGACCCCCTCCCCTTCGCCATGGGCTCTGCCTCCAGATTGTTGTCTGTGACAGTTTGCAAGCGCAAAGCTTATATTTGACCTTCCTTTGCTCTGAGGCCCCCAAAGCCCGGCACAGATATGCATGGGCCGAGTCCCGTGGCATTTAGAGGCACCGGTCCCTCCTCACACATAGGAGGAAGGACGGCTCCGCTCCCTGCTGGAGTGGCTGCCGTAGCTGTACCCAGCCCGAAAAATCAGTTTATTCCAGTTTCCAAGCCCTGGCAGGGTCTGATCCCGCTAGCACGGTTGCAGCTGAAGCAAATCTGCATGGAAGCGGGACAGGGGATGCTGCCAGTCATCTGTGCAATTTGGGAGCTGGAAAATGGTAGATGGAAGTTGAGTCTTTTGGAAAATAAGCCCCGATCGTCAGGCAAAGCCCTCACCGTGGGGAGGGGAGCTGGGAGGGGAGCAGAGCTTGTGCCTGGCACCCCTAAACTTCCCTGCGGCAGGAGCCGAGGGGCTCTGCCCCACTGACACTGGGGCTGTGCAGGCTGCTGGAGCTGCCCCGTGGCTCTGGCCCTGCTCGTGGGGGCTCGGCCCGAGCTTCTCTCAAAAGCTGGGTTAGAAAAACCGTCTGTTGGGTGAGGCTGAGCCCTCGGCAAAGTCTCCCGGGCGGCTGCCTCCAGGTCCACAGGCAGCGGCTGCCTCCTCTGCTCCTTCCCTGCTTGTTTTTTCTTATTCAAGATCTTCTCCTCCCCAGTTGTCTCTTCCTCCCTTTTCCCTCCTGCCATGTGTGATCTAGCCTAAATATTTCCTTCCATAGCTTCAGGACACTGCTGGATATCCTGCCATCTTTGGAGACTGCGAATAATTCCCTTCTTTCATTTTTATCATTACCTTGAAGGTATTTATAGAGCATGATCTTGAGCGGAAAGGAAGGCATGACTATATATAAAGCCGAGATCCCTTGGTCTTTAGCTGCTAACTGCCTGGAACTGTTCCTGATTTAAACTTTTCTCCCATTTGCTGCACGTTTTGGACTTCACAGGAGCATCCTCGGCATTTAAATCCCCATCCTGAGCAAGGAGAGTGATGCAGCTATGGGTTCTCCAAATTTCTGCCATCAGAGTAATTCAAACTCGTGAATATTTGTCTGGGTCTTGTCTTCTCCTGTCCGTGCACTGATAGAAACCCTTGTGTAGGAGGAAACGTGGCTGTACAGGGTGCTGAGCTACACCCCATGGCAGGCGCCTGGCCCCGGGGCATCCGCAGTCGCCCTCCCGAGCACCGGTCCAGGCTCCGTGCTCAGCATCCTAGCTCTGCTATCCCGCAGCTAAGCGTGCTTCCCCCCGCTCCCAAAGCGTGCCCTGGCACCTCCGCTCCCGGCGTTTCGCTGGCTGCTGCGGCGAGGCGGGAGGTGGCTCGGCGTTAATGAGGGGCGATGCTATCCCAGGGCAAGGGCAGGATGGCCAGACTTTCCGGCAGCTGATGCTTGAAAAGGCTCCGGGGGTTGTTTCGTTTCCTAGTGGGCAGGCGTCTGTCACGCAAGCCCTGGGAAGCAGCTTAATAATAATAATAATAATAATTAAAAAAAAAGAAGCCTTCTGCATGCGTGTCTGTCTCCTCCAGCCCGGGACCATGGGGAGCAGCAAGAGCAAACCCAAAGACCCCAGCCAGCGCCGGCGCAGCCTGGAGCCCACCGACAACGCCCATCACGGGGGCTACCCAGCCTCGCAGACGCCCAGCAAGGCGGCCGCTCCCGACGCCCATCGCACCCCCAGCCGCTCCTTTGGGACCGTGGCCCCCGAGTCCAAGCTCTTTGGAGGCTTCAACACCTCCGACACGGTCACCTCGCCGCAGCGTGCCGGGGCACTGGCTGGTTGGTGTGGGCTGGGGCTCCGCGGGGCGGGGAGGGTCTCAGTCGGGTCTTCGTGGGTTTGGTTCCATCTTCTTCTTGTGATGATGGGGTCTCCTGCTTTTGAGGGACTCTGTCTTTGAGCTGGAGGGGGAGCAGATCTGTGTCTTATCAGCTGGTGGGAGGATGGTGGGAGAGGAGGGTCCCCGGCGAGGGTCGCCCAGCGCCATGCCGCGGCAGCGCCGGTGGCTGTGCCCGTCCTGAGCGGTCTCTGTTGCAGGTGGAGTCACCACTTTCGTGGCCCTCTATGATTACGAGTCCCGGACCGAAACGGACTTGTCCTTCAAGAAAGGAGAGCGCCTGCAAATCGTCAACAACACGTGAGTGTCCCTGTCCCTGCAGCCAAGCCCACAGGGGTGGGCTGTCACCTTCATCCCTCCTGCGGAGCCCCCAAGCCCAGCTCTCCCTGGGGATGGGTGCTTGAGGAGGGATGCTCCGGGTGATCACTGCCTGATCGCCAGCGGTGCCGCCCTTGGAGCCGCTCTGCCAAGACACACACGGACGCAATGACTTGTCCGAGGACACCCAGCACTGGAGGCAATCATTTGCCTGCTCCCGCATCCTCCCGGCCCTGTTGCTGGTCACCGTTGCCTTGCAGCCTTGTCACCAAGCCACCTCCTCTGCTTGCTGGCCAGTCCGTGCCCTCCAATGTGGGGCCGTGTCCCCACCAGTCCCCTGTCCCCATCAGCGCTCAGATCCCTCTCGTTTGCCTGGACACATCTCAACTTCACGGGTGCTTTCCCCTGTGCTTGCACGGTGTCTCTGATCTCAGCTTCTCTCTTGACTCTTTTTTCTCTCCTCTGTGCCATGCTGTCGTTTAGGAGAAAAGTGGACGTCAGGTGTGTATTGCAGATTATTACTGTTATTACTGTTAATGATCTTAAATGGTAAAAGCCCGTCCGCTGCCCATGTTAGGGCAAGGTTGGGTGGAGCGGGGCTGGGAGGGGAGAGGGTTGCCTGATGGTTTTGCAGTTGGTTGGGTTTGTCCTCCCTGAGTGACGGGGGCGGAGCGGGGAGCCCCTTCCGTGCCAAGGAACTGCTCCATCCAGAGCTATGTCTGCACCCAGGAGCTCTGAACCTGGCCCACCTTCCTTGTCCGCGCCTGGCACCCCTCTGCAGTCCCTTTTTAGTTGGCTCTCCGCTCCCTCCTGGCCATTTTTGCATTTATTTTTGCATTTTTTAATTTTATTTTTATTTTTTGTGAGTGGCTCAGGGGACTCAAGCACTTCCTTAGGGGTCTGGCTCCTGCTTGTTTGCTTTCCATGCTGGTCGTAGCAGCGCACCCATCGCTTGCCATGTGGAACAGGGCAGCGTGACGAGCTGGAAGATGGTCCTAAACATGATCCTGTATTAAACCCATGTGTGGCCTGCCCTGACACACAGCACGCATGGTCTGCAGCATCCTTCGGCTGCGCTGCCGGAGGCCCGGCTGGCAGAGCCGCTGTCCCTAGCGCTGCCGTGGGGTCCCTGGGGTCCGCAGCTCCCACTGGCCCCTCCGCTGCTGCCTTCCAACCGGGACACCCAAAAGAGATTTGCAAAGTCGAAAGGTGGAAAGTACGAGGGAACGTCCCGGGGCTGATATTTCTCCTGCAGTGGTCAGGCAGTGTTGCATAAATGCATTTTCAATCTGATCCTTGTTCTCCTTGTTCCAACACTGTTTATTAATGATGATTCATTTAATCCATGAAGCGCAGGATGTGCAGGGCTTCGATGCTGCAAGAAAAGCCTGAATTTGGGGGGGTTTGGTGCTTCTTGCTTTCACAGCCTCAGCAGCGTGCTAGCCCCAGGCTTGGGCTCTGGTTTGGGCTGTTACGGAGTGAGCTCTGCGCGCTGAGGGTCCAGACTGGGCCCATAAATGAGGGGTTTTTCTTTATGCCTTATATCTCTTCTGGGCTTTCCATACTTTTTTCCTCTGCTGCTGTTTGTCAAGGGCTCGGTCAGAGGGAAGGGTCCCTGTGTGATGGGCTCTGCAGCATCCTGGGGAGCAACAGGGCTTTTTTTGGCGATGCAGCCCATCGGTGGAGGGTGCAGGATCTAGCTGCCGACCTTTCCAGTGTCTGCTGCGGCTGCGTGGGTGGGATGTCCACAGGGAGAGAAGCGGTGGAGAAAGCTGTGCAGTTTGTGCTGTGCTCAGGGGGGTAAATCTCTCTTCTCACTGAATGCCCGGAGATGCTCAGACGGTCCGGGAGCAGCTCGGGCTGCTACGCTTTGGGGACAGCAAAAGGCAGGCATGCGATGTCCCCTTCCTCTGGGCTCCCTGGGAGGGCACAGTCGGTGCCCTGGGGCTGTGGGGAGGGTGATTGGCGTCAGCCCAGGAAGGGCTGGCAGGTCCTGGGCACGGCGGGGGGCCGCGGCCACAGGGCTGACCGGCCACCAGCAGCTTTGGAAGGTGGCTGCGGGTTTTGGATGCTCTAACGGGGCTGGGGTTGCGCAGGGCGAGAGGAGAAGCCTCCATGTCACTCACCTCCTGCATCCCAGCAAAGCCCAGGCTGTCTGCGGTGACCCTCGGCCTCCCGAACGGGCCAAATCAATCCACCCCGGTGCAGAAAGGCTCTCGTGGTACCATTTCCAGTGGGAGGAGGTCTCCTCCCAGCCAGCTGGCAGCCAGCAGGGATGTGGTGGGGTATTTTGGGTAAGATTGTGGAGGGAATTGTTGAAATGCTTTGTTTTGATGATGATGATTATTATTTTTTTTTTCCCTGCTGAGACATTTTTGGAATAGTTTGTTTTTGCCGAATTCCCAGCTTGTAGCCTTGCAGCCCAAGCTGGAATAAAGCCACAAGTCAAAAGCTGGGCATTTCTCAAGCAGATGTTTTCTCCAGTCCTGTGGGAAAGGAGCCCAGCCAGCCTCCTGTCCCCTTCGGAGCCACCCCAGTAAAGGTGACTGGGGCAGCGGCTCTGGCTGGGGAGCCCCAAGCTACCTGCCACGAGATGCGCCGGGACCGGCAGAAGTTAAAATACCGTCCGGGGCTGCTGCGAGGCTGGGGATGGGCTCTGGGTGGGCAGAAGAGCCTGGCTGTGTGGTTGGGAGGAGGTGCCCTGAGGGTCCCTGCTTTCCCCGGCCCTGCTGGCACCAGTGCGGGGAGCCAGGGGCCGTGTCTGGCTTCTCCCAGCCGCTTCGAAGCATCGCTGGTTTAGCTGGGACAAGCAAAAGTCACAAGCTGCTGGTGTGTCTGGAGCAAGGATAGAGGTTTACATGTCTGCAGGGGTCAGGGACAGGTCTGGATGTGGTCTGATGGGTCTTTTAGTGGTGATTGAGGTTATTAAGGTTTTTCTGTAAAGTGTTTGTGGAGGTCGTCCTGCCAAGTTCTTGCATCCTCGTGGTGCTGTCCCCACAAATCTGCAGTTTTCCCATAGCCTCGTCTCCCTCGTGGTCAGGATAAATTAGGTGACTCCGTCTTTGATGGGCGAGAAGATGCAGGTGGTGGGAGGGAGCCCTGCTGTCTGCAGGGAAGGGGAAGCCACCTCCCGCCGTCCTGTTGTTCTTCTCTATTTATTGTCCTTCCCTGCCCCGTCCCGTGCAGGAGCCTGCGGGGAGGAGGGCAGAGCAGTGAGAAGGCTCCCGCTCCCTGCCAGATCCTGGGGACGTGCTTGGGGCCGCTCTGCCCGGGGCAGGTGGGATGGTGGGCCAGCCCTGGGTTTTTGGGGACGGCACAGGGGCTCCTGCGGGGCAGAGCCGTGCTCCGGGCCGTGGGGCCAGCACAGTGCGCGTGTGTGGCTCCGTGCAAGCCGCACTCATGGTCGTGCAGGCGCAGCCCTCGCTGGGGCTGCAGGGAAGCTCGCAGTCAGGGGCTGCAGCCGTGCAGCCTGCCCGTCCTGGGGCTGCGAGCGGGGCACCCGAGCTGGACGGAGCCCGCTGCATCCAGGCTGGGCATCCCTGCGGGGCAGGTCGCACCCCCCCCGGCCCCAACCTCAGCCCCGTCCTGTTGCTTTTCTGCAGCCTGTGTTTAACGAACTCTCTTGGGTTTTCCTCGTGCCTTTTTTAATCACTGCCATCATTCTGTTGCTGGAAAAGATGTTTCCTCTCCTTCCCCCTTGCCTGTCGCTCCTCGCTACCCTGCTGCCTTGGATCCCCAGTGCCCCTCAACCTCCAGCCAGACCCCGTTTGCATTCAGGTGGCTCCAAAGGTATTTTGACTCGCTGGCTGCCCTGCCCGATTTAAGTTTAAAGCATCCCGTATGCAGATGGATGGCCCCAATACTCGGAGCTCGCCCAAACGGAGCCACGGGCAGGGTCTGGCAGCAGGAGCCTTCCTGGCCAGGGCCTGGCTGTGGGGCTGGGGACTGCGGGGGCTGCAGAAGGTGACTGGTGGCTGGCTCATTCCCTCACTACAGGACAGACGGGCTACATCCCCAGTAACTATGTCGCGCCCTCAGACTCCATCCAGGCTGAAGAGTAATTGCCATCTTTTAGACAGTTTAAAGACGAGCGATAGCGAACGCACCCTGAGTGCTCCTCCCTCCCCCTGCCCCTTTCCTGAGCAAAGCCTGCAAGGCCTCCGGGTTTTTCCTTTTTGTTATTTTCCCCCTTTGAATTTGCAACCCCCTTATATATTTTACAGCCTTTCTTTAAGGCCCATAAAGTGCAGAGGTGCGGCGTGCTTGTGCGGTGGAGGGATGAGCTGTGGCGTAGCAGGGGCCGTGGTGGACCTGATGTTTTTGGTCTGGTTTTTACTCTTCC